GCTGGATTTCCCTAATAACAGCACTTGCCATTTCCATGTTTTGTGAAATTTCCAAACTTGCCTCTATGTAGCATAATGGAACACATTTTCTAAAACTGCCTTTACCACTTCTGCGGTGCAGGCAGGTGGTCTTTGGGCCTGAGGATTCAGAGCCACAGGACTAGTGCTGCCCTGCTACAGACTGTGCAGGCCAGGATTTTATTTGTGCTGCTGATAGAAATAATCTACCACCCTACCAAGGATTCAAACCTGGGTTTCGAGCATAAGAGTTTATCAATTATAACAGTTGAATGTTGAATTAAGAATTGACATCACAGCACTCGGGACACTCTCATAAGCGCTCCATCCTTATCTTCAGCAGCAAGTGGAGAGTTCCAATTCGGATGGTACCAGTAACTGTCTGAGTGTATATCCATCTCGCCTTTCCCCTGCGTGTCGAGCGTCGGCCAGATCCCCTTGTAATCCCTCACAGTGCCATTCTCCTCAGACCGTAATGATCTGTGCCTCGGCATTCATAACAGTTTGGCCAGCTGCTCCTCATAATGGAATGATATCATTTTGAAAGTTAGAAAGGTAATGTTTTTATAGTTTATCTTACTACAGTCGACGTCACTGCATCATATACGTGTTCGGTCTTCCGATGCAGAAATCACACAAAGGTTTCTAAAAGGATTAATCCCATGAGAAACTGGTTACAGTGTCTCGTGTTCTTGTCCTCAAAGATGGTATGGATGTGCTCCACCAAGCTTTACTTCCAGGTCAGGCAACTGTATTGGCGTCTAAGACTCATTGTTGTCCACCAGAATAGTCGTCTGTACAACATTTATCTTCTTCTGCATCTTTTAAATTTTCTTATTCTTATTCTTTATTTTCTCTGGCTGCAAACTCTGGGCAGAAATGGCTGGTTTATCAACCTCAGGACTTTAGTCTTGTTCAGGAACTGGAGTTTTATGTGCATATCCATGAACAAAATCTGGCTTTTTTGTAGCTGGACTGTCAGTGTTGTTTCTTTCACACACTCTGACTTCAATTAAAACTCCTCATTAGTGGACCTTTTTTTTAAAGATGCAATTCATCCTGTCAAACAGCCAGAGCAGCTGTCGTGTCATAATAACGATAATGTAGCGGTATGAACCAAACTCCCATGGGCGTTCATGAGTAAGACTCCAGTCTACCCTAGGAAAATCAGGTGCTGAAGCCGGAGGCAACCAGCCAGCAGGCGCACCGCAACAATCAGGTTGCCACGCACAAACGCAATAGGGAATATATCTATAATGAGTTTACTCTTATGACATGCTTGCAGGGAGGAAGTGGATCTACCCTGTTTTCCTCCCACAGTTGGGCCCCGAAACCTACAAGGGGACAAAACAGCAATAATGAAATAAGCTCTGTGTATGCTTCTTTTATTTGCACTGGTGCATTACTTGCCAGCTGGTTGGCTTATTCATTACATTTTGAAGTTTGAACAACGGACCAACATCATGGGCACACTGGTAGTAACCCATAAGTGCTCCGTTCTTCTTCTAACTCAAGTCTGAGTCCGAAGAATCTCAACACAGTGCACAGGCTCTGTAGCACCAGCAAGGATCCTGAAATACTTTGGGTAGATTTTTAACTCCAAATTTTGCCCGGGAAAGTGCCGTTAGGCTACTCTTGTTGATTTCCAACTGCGAAGGGATTTTTTTATGTGTGCAACATTGCACACGGGCGTCTGAAACCAGAGGGAATTACTAGAAATCCAATGCCCACGTGACAAAAATCCCAGCCCTTACCGGGGATTGAACCCGGAATCTCTAGCACTTGAGACGGACACCATGCCTCGAGACTACGCAGCCCCATCATTACATTTTAGGATGGAAAGGTGCCAGCCAGTTTGCACACACACTCAGAAATATTAATAAGAACTTTTCAAATAAAAAAAAACGGAAGATCAGACCATTAGCTGGGTCTTGTATATCAGTCAATGAGGCGACATCTCCACAGTGAAGACTGGCTATCATGGATACCAACATTCTTTGTCTCTCATCTTGGTTCTATAATGCTAAAGACTGCTCTTCTTGCTAGCTTCACACTTGTATTCTGACTTAGACCTTGCCTACAGACCTTCAACTTTTCCCACCCGTTATGGTTCTCATAGGATTTTTATATGTGACCGAAATGAACATCTGAAGGAAGAAGTGGTTGAGTGGCTAAGTAATACACAGATCTAACAACTGTGGGCCTCAGTGGCAAAGTGGTCAAGCCGTTTGCCTCACATTCTGAATGTTGCAGTTTTGTTTCATGGATGCATAGTTAAGTTCTTTAGTACAATGTTTTTTTTTTGGAAGATCCCTGGGGGTTGTTGCAGGAGCTACAGAGTTTGTGCAATGTTCCTGGCAATTGGCCATTCTGCGGAGAGAGGCTAGGCTATATGACATAAAATCCAGTGCAATAAACAGCTGATCCCTTTTATTTTCAACTTTAACAGATCTAGGGAGCAATAGCTGTTCTTAATTTTGTGACAACAAACAGTCCTTACTCAAAATATTTACATCCTAAAAAGTTAATCTTAAAGGCAATAAATATTTAGATTTGAAAGATTTAAAAAGAAACACTGTGGAACAGAAACAGTTAAACTAATAATTCACATACCAGCTTGCGCTACAGTGGATCCCAGCCCATTGTGGTATAGAAAGAAATGAGATGGCAGATAAACTGGCAAAAGAGGGAACACAGGAAAAACAGAACTTCCATCTCATATCATTACAAGAGGTAAAGACACTTATCAAGGAGAAGTACATAAATTCCTTGAAGCAAAAAACAAACTTCAAACATCCAGATGATCAAATCAACAGATTACACATAAGATAGTACACAACCATCTTTTGACTTTGAACAGCACTATAAAAACAAAGTGCACATATGCACAGAATGAAGATTACACAGTATTCCCAGTGTCCCTACTAAACTGCATTCCAAACACCTGATCACATACTGTGGAACTGTCTCCATTCAGCAAAACAACACATACAGGAAAAACTTTGGGGAAACATGAAAACTTGGAGAATTGTTGCTGATGTGCCAGATTATGAGGGCAACACAACTGATAACTTGAGCATATGAAACACAAAGAATAAGAAGAAGATAAAAAGGGTTAATATAACTTTTGTTTTTGAGAGAAGACAGGAAGAATGTTATGTTGCCTTCATAATAATCAATCATGTTAGGTTGTTGGTTCTGATAGAGTTAAAATAACAAAGTGCCATCGTTATTACTGAAGTAACATAAGAGCCAGTCAATCCAAACATAGCCCTCGACTTCCCTGTGTTAGTTCTGGGGCCTCATTGGGGGGGGGGGGTGGAAATAGACCCACTGCCCCGTCAACAAGCATGTTGTAAGAGTCAACTAATCAGGGGTGTTTCCTTAAAAGTCAGTGCATCTGCCTGAAAGGTGAATAACCAACAGTCTGCATCAAAATAAGCTAGATCAGTATAATGGATATGCATGCAAAACTCAGGTTCTGGAACAAGGCTAAAGAAGTAGATGAACAGCCAGAACTTTCCACCAGAGTTTACAGCCAGTGAATACAGAGAAAAAAAGAAGAATTGCTTGGTCTACTTAAGTATGTATGTATGTAAGTTGTACCCCACCTATACATCACACAAGCGACAAACACCCAGGTAACACAAAGTGCCACCATGTGGAGGAGGATCATCCATGGAGAGGTCCCGGAAACCCCGTTCAGCCGTTAGGCCATATTTCAGGCGCGGCTATATTTAGGGCCCCCCAGCAAAAGCCAGGGTGGGGGCTTCAAAATAACTAAAAATTGCATCACACAAGGGGATGACGAGATTATTGACCTACTTACAGTGTTCTGCTGCAGTAATTTGTCTAATATATCGCGCAGCAACGAGAAAGGAGGCCGATTTTCTGGTTCTAGCTTCCAGCATTTCTGCATTATGGCGTACCTGAGACAAAAAATATTTATAAATTTTTTAATTCCTGGGAGATGATAAACATACAAACAAATGTATTACGCCTGAAAGATGTTACTTGAGGCAAACACATAAAACATACACAATTTACACCACAGGGAAGCTGTGAGTTGAAACAAGCAAAAAAAATTGTTTTTCTAAATTTACAAATTGGGGAAGATGGTAGCTAAGACAAACACATAAGAAAGAACAGACCACACGCAAATTCTCTATATGAGATATATATTTACAAGTAGGTGTAACACATTTTCATAGAAAGAGAAAAAAAGTAGACTATTTTAATGAAAAGAGTTAAAAGACCAATATTTTAATAGAAAGACAGACTGACTGACTGACTTTCTAACCCACCAAGACATCACACAAGCAATAAACACCTGATGACACAAAGTGCCACCATGTGGATAAGGATCGCCGTGGAGAGGTCCCAGAAACCGCGTTCAGACAATTGGCCATATTTATGGCCTGCCTATATTGCGGGCCCCTGGCAAAAGCCAGGGTGAGGGTTCAAATAACAAAAAAATTACATCCTAAAAAGGACGTAAGAATATAATGCATCAATTATAGAAAGACAAAGAAATACAGTATTTTACAGAAAGAGATACAAAGTAGAAAATTCTAACAGAAAGAAAAAAGTGCAGAATTGTAATAGAAAAGATTTTTTAAAAAAAAAAGTACTACATTTTAATGAAATAACAAAAAGTGTACTATTTTAACAGAAATATAAAAATCTACAATATTTTTATAGAATGATAAAAAAAAAAATATATTTTAATAGAATGACACAAATGTATGGAATTTTTATGGAAAAACGTACAATGTATAGTATTTCATTACAAAGACCCCCAAATTGCATTAAAAAAAACGCACTCACTGACACCCCCCCAACCCCCCCCCCCCCCCCCCCCCCCCCCCCCCCCCCCCCCCCCCCCCCCCCCCCCAATATTCACTATTTTTATTTAAAGATTAAAAAAAATATATTATTTTAATAACAAGATGAAGTGTATTTTAATAGACAAAAAAAAAAAATTACAGTTCATCTGGGCACTCATCCGGTCTATCCATTCTGTATCCAGTGCTGAGCAAGGGAAACAATCGCTCAGGTGGAATACCTGGATATGGTGATGCCCCTTTGATGAAAGAAATGAAAGATATAAAAATTACATTAACAACATGGGCTATTAAAGAAAATAATTTCTAGACTTCACAGCAATAACAATAAAATGTAAACATATAAGGACTGTGACACTGCAAGTCACACTAGCCATCACCATGGGCTGTGAGTCTCATGCCTCCTCATAGCACAATATAACACTATCATCTGAAAAGACGGAAAGGTGCCAATGAATGAAATACTGTCACAAATATTATAAGATAAAAAAAATCAGCATCCGTGGCTTTAAGTGTTGCGAGTCTGACTCGTAATTCCAACATACAGCAATTGAAACCCTCTGTTGGCTGCGTGGATTTTTATCGTGGTATGGGGCGTCGCAGGTCGACCTAGCCTAAAATGGGTACGATGATGTATGTTCTGGGGAAATAAAGAGGGCCGACGTAATGCTGACCACATTACCAACCTAGTGCCGATTGGACTGTAAAAATATGGGTGCTCTTCCCATATGCCCGATGTGCCTAAGGACGTGAAAGGGGATCTTTACTTTTTCACTTACTTTTATTGAAAAATCAAAGTTAGATAACTTTCTGTTTGTTTAGAATCAGCTTTTCAGTTAAAATACTTTGGGTATTCTCTTGTATGCGACTTTTGATAAGTATCTAAAAGCCATAAAGATAGTACATGCCCAAAATTGCTCTCATTTAAAATTGCAGTTTATATCCTTGTGTGGGTTTAAGAGCCCCATTTGAGAGGTGGAAGGGCGGGGTCGGGGGGGGGGCGGGGGTCAGACCCACTGACAAGAATGTCACAGAAGGTGACTAATCAAAGGCTTTCTGTTTTTTTTTTTTTTTGCGTGTCTATAACCAACAGTCTGCATTCAAATAAGCCATATCTGTGAAACACATGTGCATGTAAAACTCCAAGTTCTGGAATAAGACTAAAGTGCAGAAGTGGGTGAACAACAAGGACTTTGCACAAGAATTTACAGCTGGTGAATGTAAAGAAGAAGAAGAAGAAGAAGAAAAGAAGAAGAAGAAGAAGAAGAAGAAGAAAAAAGAAGAAGAAGAAGAAGAAGAAGAAGAAAAAAAAGAAGAAGAAGAAGAAGAAAAAGAAGAAGAAGAAAGAAGAAGAAGAAGAAGAAGAAGAAGAAGAAAAATGACATTTATAACTTTGTTGTCATACTTGTCCAATTGACGGTCTACGTACACAGACACCCACGCACATACACAGAGGAGCGCTTATGAACTGAATTATTTGCCCGAGGATGTTTAATCAACTAACTAACACATGTCTATGTAATGTTTTACCTAAGCTTGACATTGTTTATGTTAAGCTAACTGTATATCTTAAGAACATTACAAACTAATCCAAGCATTTGTTTGCTGTTTTTATTGTTTTACTAGGTAATTTTTATGTGCAGTTGTTTGCCATTGCTGACTGAATGGTCGACTCTTGATATCCTTTTCAAAGTAAATGCAAAACAGTACACAATACTGCATGCAGTTGGAATTAAACCAGGTACCTCAAAGTACAAGGCATGCATTAAATTATAGGTGATGGATGAACAGCACGAGGTAGATCAAGAACAAAATGAAATGATAGCATTAGAGAAAGTCTACAAGAGCATGATGTGTCTGTGGTTGAGTTGGCCATAAGAGCAAGAAGCAGTATTTTAATCTCTGAAGCGGTAGAAGAAAAAGAAGAAGAAGAAGGAGGGGGAGGAGAAGTAGAAGAAGAAGAAGAAGAGGAAAAGAAGAAGAGGAAAAAAAGGAAGAGGAAGAAAAGAAGAGTAAAGAAGAAGAGGAGGAGGAGAAGAGGAGGAGTAAGAGGAAGAGTAGGAGAAGAGCAGGACGAGGGAGAAGAAGAAAAACAGTAGGAAGAGGAGGAGGAAAAGGAAGGAAAAAAGAAGAAGAAAATCTCAGAAATACAAACAGAATATGTAACCCCTATGCCGCAGCTGCCAACTAGTTTATGTTAAACATGGTTCTAAAAGACATATTTAACTGTTCCAGTACCATCAGATTTGGCAGCGAATTCCAAAGTGGGGTACTTAATTTATAACTTACCCCTGACGTCACAACAACGTCACGGGAGAGTTTTCTCGCGATTCCAGCCAAGTTAAGGGTTTAGGTTAGGGTTTAGGGTAGCATTAGTGTTCCACCAACAGACAACAGCACACTTGAAATAATGGACTGTCAGGTCAGCTGTGGATTTCCCACGGGGATTTCGTGTTATAAATTAAGAACACAAAGTGGAAACAATTATGAATCCTAAACAGTATCTAAATACTGTGAACAGGGCCACTGGAGTAGCCAGATTTCTTTAATATGCTGTGACCAAACTGAATATGTAAGAGCACACATTATTCACTGGGTGTGATTCATGAGAAAGGAATCCATGACAAATTGTGCACTGGCTGATATTGAAAGAGTTAAAAATACATAATCTTTATGAGAAAAAGGTACAATATATCAACTCAAATTACCGTCCTCCATATTGTCAGAATAAATAAAACAAGGTGCCCACACAAAGTAATCCATAAATACATGGGACATTGACAAATACACAACATTACCTAATGTGACTATCTCCCAGAGAACTATCCCGTATGACCAACTGAGCAGCATTAAAGAAAGCACAGCATTTCATAAGTAAAACATCAGTGATAAATAGAGGTTGAGAGTCCTTTCACTCCGGTGGCACACTAGACATATGGTGCTAGACACATTTTTATTCTTCTTCTTCTTTATTGTTTACCGGCTGTAAGCTCTGTCTGAAAGTCCTGGTTGTTTGTCCATTTGGACTTTGCCTTTGTGCCAGGGCCTGAGTTTTGCATGCACATTTGTTTTCTAGCTTATTTGTTCCTTAACTCGAGCAGATGCATTCTGACTTCAAAGGAAGTCCCCAAAAAATCGACTCCTATGACATGCTTGTTGGGGAGGCAGTGGGTCTCTTCTTGTTGCCCCCACAATGGGGTCTGGGAACCACCATGGAGAATGCATAATTGTTTGCTTCCGGTCCAGTGTGGCAGATGCTGGCATACTACTGACGTTCTGAAAAGTTTCTAGCCCTGGCTTGCTGATGAAAATTCCCCATTTCTAGACTGAAAGGCTAAACGTTCCATTGCCCTGCTACTTAGCTGAATGCTTTGGTGTGACACTGTGAGCTGGGGATTTTATGTGGATCTATTATGATTTCGACTGGCACATGTGAGTTCCAGGGCCCTTTTATAGGGAAAAGAGTAGACCTACTGCCTACCCAAAAGCATTTCGTAAGAGTCAACTAATTGGGAGCTTCCTTCAAAGTTGGATTGCATCAGGGACCAGCAGTCTGCATACAAATGAGTCAGATCTCTAAAACGGATGCACAGGCAACACTCAGGTTTTGGAACACGACTGCAGTCCAGAAGTGGATGAACAACCAGAACGTTCCGCCAGAGTTAACAACTGGTAAACGCGAAGAAGGAAAAGAACATTTCTACTGGAGCAGAAAATTGCAGTTTTGGGGCAACCTGTCTGAGGTGAAGTTGGAACCCCGAGTAATGAGCAACTACGCATATTACAGATACCAATCCTCACTTGATGGATTAGTTATCTTTTACAATATGCTATAACTCTATCAGTACCAAGGGTTGTTTCTTTAACTTCTTATTTCCAAAAAGCTAAGTTTCATATCAACTGATAATTTAATTCGAAGGAGTTCTTCTTCTCTTCTTTGTGTTTACCGGCTATACACTCCAGTGAACAGATCTGGTTGTTTGTCCACTAATGGACTTTGGTCTTGTTCAACAGAGAAACTATGGGACAGTAGGAGGTAAACTAATAACTAAGATACTTAGGGTTCATTGAGATGTGTCTGTGATAGAGAAGACACATAAACAGGACCATACCGAGCAGCACGCCAAAGGACATGACACCGTATCCCTGTCTAGACTGATGGACATGGGGATGCAGCCTGGAGCTGCAAGAAATTAACATTTCACTAAGAGGACAAGACGTTTCAATAACCAACACAGAACAGCGTCATCAGTCGTTTTACACTTGTGGAGCTTTTGAGGAGGAGATTGGAGCACCTATGGATCTGTCTGGAGTGCTGTCTGTGATGATAATCCTTTCTAATCACTAATCACACATAAACAGGTAAACAGAAGGCAGTAACTGCAGCTTACGGTGGCTAGAGAACAAGATGTATACACATGTCATAATTGTAACAGACTCTGGAAGCATGCTTATAAAGGTGGAGACAGGGATGCTTTGAGCAGAATGACAAGCTTCACTGGGAAGGTCACAGACAAGATTATTATTGCCTGGAGAGAACGATTCAACTGGGAGTAAACCAGGAGGTCTGGCCAGCTCACTACACTCAGGGAAAAGGCAATCTGGATATATAACCAGATTACGACCGGTTCCAATTAGTATTGGAACTCTGCGCTGGCTGCTGAGGATGAGGACGGAGCATGCATGGGAATGCCCTGAGTGCTGTGATGTCAACTCTCGACTCAACTCAATACATAAACATCGCACCATCTTAGAAATAAATAAACCGAGGGGGAACCCTTAAAGCAGTAAAATATTATATACATAATAAACAAACAGATAATGTATCGATCGGCAACCTATGGTGGCATTTCAATGGTTTCTCTCCAAATTCCATAGTTGTGGATTTTAAGCTGTACGATAGATATGGCCAATGAAGAATTCCATAGTTTTGGATTTTAAGCTTAATGATAGACATGGCCAATAAAGAATTCTATAGTTGTGGATTTTAAGCTGTACAATAGACATGGTCAATGAAGAATTCCATAGTTGTGGATTTTAAGCTGTACGATAGACATGACCAATAAAGAATTCCATAGTTGTGGATTTTAAGCTGTACGATAGACATGGTCAATGAAGAATTCCATAGTTGTGGATTTTAAGCTGTACGATAGACATGGTCAATGAAGAATGCCATAGTTGTGGATTTTAAGCTGTACGATAGATATGGCCAATGAAGAATTCCATAGTTTTGGATTTTAAGCTTAATGATAGACATGGCCAATAAAGAATTCCATAGTTGTGGATTTTAAGCTGTACGATAGACATGGTCAATGAAGAATTCCATAGTTGTGGATTTTAAGCTGTACGATAGACATGACCAATAAAGAATTCCATAGTTGTGGATTTTAAGCTGTACGATAGACATGGCCAATGAAGAATTCCATAGTTGTAGATTTTAAGCTGTACGATAGACATGGCCAATGAAGACACTTTTCTCAGGGGTGCCTAGTTGGTCATATATTTTAGTACACTTGTTTCCATAACGAAGCGCACATGCCTTTTGTAGGTGACAGGTTCAATTCCAGGCACAATAAGTAAAGCTTTCGATTTTGATGCTGTCTAGTGTGTCCTTCTATCTTTCTACTTCTTGCTATAAGTGCCCATCAATACATTGTTGTTTTGTTTATAATATATATTATATACACCTTCTCAAGGATACAACACCCCCCCCCCCCCCCCCCTTCCCATCCTTCTTTTCCTTCGTCTGTTTATTTAAGTGAATTTTGTGTAATAATATAGAACCGACCAATCAAACCTCTTATTTAATTAAATGTTTGTTGTAATCTAGATACAGTGTTAAGGTCTGATATGTTTGTGATTGTTGTTGTGTTTGTTATTCAGCCTATGCTTTGTTAATATACATTTATGTAATCTATGCTGCCATCTCAATAGGTTTGAGATAAATTATGTCTGCATTTCATTGTTGTGGATTTCAAGCTGTACGATAGACATTTTCAATGCACACACCTTTTGGGAGGGGGGATGCCTAGTTGCTCATGTTCTTGGTACACTTGTTTCCAAAGCGAGGTGCACACGCCATATAGAGGTGACAGATTTGATACCAGTCATGTTAACTACAGATTTCAATTTTTAAGCATACATATATATATATATATATGTGTGTGTGTGTGTGTGTGTGTATATATATATATAATTTCTGAGAAATACTAAAAAACATCTGATGCTATGTTTGGTAATGAAAAAGGGAAGATGCTATGGGTCTCTGCTTTGTCCCCCAAACAGGGCCCCACCATACTCCACACAGGAAGTGTGAGTGGGAGTCTACAACCTTCAGGCCCGAAGACAAGCTCTAATGATTTGTGCTCTTTCTTGTTCTTCCTTGTTGTTGTTTTTGTTGTTGTTTTTCTTCTTTCTATTCTTCCTTTTTTTTTTTCTACTTCTTCTTCATCTTCTTCTGCATAAGCCCTTAATCAGGTGATAACACATCATGTTGCTGTTAATTACAGCTATCCCCTTTGGTCCAATATATTCCAGTTAAGCAAACCCTTAATTAGTCACGCCTTTATGACATACTCCTTCGGCAGTAGTGGGTACATTAAGTTTTCCATCAAAATGGGGTTCCAGGAAATAACCTGAAAGACAAAAAAAAAAACTATAAAGAAAAAACAAACACATGAGGAGGAATGTCCACTCCACAGTAACAGATTCTTCAAAATCGCTGAGTGAATGACAAAAGACAGTGAAGTTCATACTAGAGACAACATTGCAGATATAGATAATCTATTCCAAGCAAACAAAAGAAGAAGGAGAAGATGATTTCTCCAAAAGGTTCGATCAATTGGTTATCCCAATACAGCCTGCTACCTGAACGTTTACCATCCTGTGATAAAAAACACCTCAATCCGGATGCCAGACGAACAAGAACGATCCCAGATACCCTATTCGACCTTCAATGAAGTTATAAATAGGACACCCTGAATGGCTACATCAGCCATGAGCTAAAAAGCCGCCCAGTGCAGGTAAGGACGTTAAAGAAAACTTTAAGAGAAACCATGTTTTCCTTCTCTTTGTTCAATACCATAATTATTATGAATGAGACAGTACTAGCAGCAACAAAAATAGTTCTACTTCCTCTGCTTCCGCTTTTACTGCTTTGGGTGTTGAGGGAAACATAAGGTTCTGCCATTTGCTTTTCTGGCTGCCTCGACCATAGACACATTGTGCTGTTGTAGAGTTTCTCTGATGTTATCTTTTCATCATGATCTTGGTCTACCTTGTGGTCCACGTCCTTCTCCTCTTTTGGTTTTTTCTTTGTATGGTATGGAATCACAAAGAATTCTCTCTAAGTGGGCAAACCATTTGATTTGCTGTCTTGTATGTAATTTAGAGTTGGTTCTGGACCGACTTCTCTTATGCCCTCATTCCCATTTTCATCTCCTCTGGTCACTCCTGCAGTGCCTCTTTAATATGTTTTCATGTGACCTAGGACTACATGCAAAGACCCTTGAACATGTCTACAACACTTACCTAAAACTCAAATGGACACAAATTTACACTGATGGATCATTGGAGGGAGCAGAAAAAACCCCTGGAGGAGCTGGATCAGTCATTATGCTGCAAGATGGGACCATAGTAGAAACATCATATGCCTCCAGAAGACGCCCAACAAACTTTAGAGCAGAGCAGCAAGCAATTATTAATGCAACCAAAGTTCTTGAGAAAAGAAAAATTAAAAACAGCAAAATTGTTTTCCTTTGTGACTGCATGTCAGTCCTCCAGGCAACTCATAGGGATCCACGAGACAACATGGAAAGAGAACTGACCCGTCAGCTAAACAGACTCTCAGAAAACAATCAAATCGTTCTGTAGTGAATCCTGGCTCACTGTGGCATAGCAGGAAATGAGTTAGCGGACAGACTTGCAAAAAAATGGAACAAAGAAGAAACAATACACCAATTCGAAACAATTTTTTCCCGTAATGAATTTAAATAATGCGGATACAAACAATTGTTTTGTTTGTATCCGCATTATTTAAAAATACCAATTCATTGTCATTACCAAAAATCAAAACACTCATCAAGAGAAAATACAAGAAATTGTGGGAAAAACAAACTAACAGTAAACATCCACAAGACCCCATCAGCAAGCTGAACGGAAAGCAACATACAACAATGTTTCATCTACGAACAAAAGATTGCCGGCTCAATTACCACATGCATAAAATAAAGATTCTACAGTCCCTACAGTGTGCCTGTAAAACAGTATCACAAACTCCTGAGCACATTCTGCAGACCTGCCCACTCTACCTACAACTTCAAAAAGAAAGCTAGCCTCAAAAGTAGTGTGCTGAGCAAAGTATGGGGAACCATGAAGGACCTGCTACTGACATGCGTGATCTTAGAAGCAATCCCCCTGATGGTATGGTCTGAGCATACAAGACCGAACGCAAAGAAGAAGAATTTCCATGGTTATAAATTTTCTTTTCTGTTTTGTTGTGTGACTATGTTTGGTGCTGGTAGCACAGAGTTGGGCTAAACATGCTTTGTATGAGATGAGTCGGGGGAAAAAAAAAAAAGAAAAAAAAAAGTACCCTGGAAAATAATTTGAAAAGAAAAGTTAGTTATGTACTCTTTACAGAATGTTGCAGAGCCAACTCTCTAGCAATGTTTATCTGTTTGTGATTTTACTCGACAATTTTCACATTCAGTAGCTTTTCACTGCTGTCTGAATGGTCAGCTTTTGATTATCACTGTCAAATTCAAAGAAATGTGAACAAATTTGATTAGGCAGCCAAATATATACATGCAAAATAAATCATCAGAAAGTTTAAAAAAGGAATTTGCCACTGGAAACAAGCAGAAATAAACTTACGTATCACTTTTAGTCGTATAGATTTGCCCATACAAGGACTCAGGGGCCATCCACTTTACTGGGATTCTTCCCTACAATAGAGAAGAACAGCAAAGTTTTAGTCTTTCAAAACCAGAAGATTTTGTTTTAAATACTTAGGGAGATAACAGACACAATGAAAAAAAAGCATAGGCGTTTTACTTTTAAAGAGATATCTTATACTTGCTGTGTGTATTCATATCTAGCCAGATTTCTTTAGCATGCTCAAATCAAATGTAAAAAAAAAATAATTATACACAAATTTATTTTTGATGCATGTTGATTATTGCTCATCAGACGTTTTGAGTGAGTGACCTTCGACCCCACCAGGACATCACACAAGCGATAAACACCCGATGACACAACGTGCCACCATGTGGATGAGGATCACCGTGGAGAGGTCCCAGAAAGAGCGTTCAGACATTTGGCCATATTTATGGCCTGCCTATATTGCGGCCCCTGGCAAAAGCCAGAGTGGGGCTTCAAATAACAAAAAATTACGTCCTAAGAAGGACGTAAGGACTTAATATCAGACATTTTTAATTCTTATGTCAAATCAGTATTTTGGAATGGAGCGGAAATATGGAGAACAACTAAGGCAATTACTAATAAAACTACAATCATTTATTAATGGTGCGCGAGCAGAATAGAGGGAACTAAATGGTATGATAGGATAACTAATGAAGAGCTTTGGGAGAGAACTAAACAAGTTCCAGCAGATCAAGAGGTGAAGAAAGCATACTTGCTTTAGATAGGACACAAGGAGAAGGGAGCTTGAGAGTGAAGTTAAAAAGATAGGAAGGACATGGGGAGTGGGGAAAGCTGTATGCAATAGCCAAGGATAGAATAACTGTGCGTGAGTTGGTTGAGGGCCTGTGCTGCAGTGGCGTATTGAAGGTAGAAGAAGAGAAGAAGAAGAAGAGTTATTGTATGTTGGCTGTGACAGAAACAGTTAATAGCAGGATTGATATGCGGATTAGTGTGAAGGCTGTTGTTCAGACTGATGTGTGGTTTCATGTCTAGTTTCACGCACGTTTCAAAGTATTGACTGATGTGAGCGTATGGGTTGGAGTATGGATTGATGTGTGCATTGAAATGTGGATTGATGCTTGTATTAATATGTGGATTGATGTGTGGACATGTTTGAATTGATTTGTGGACTGATAAGCACGTTTATGTGTGGGCTGAAGTATGAACTGATGTGTATGTGTGGGTTACAGTATGGACTGATTTTTGGATTGAAGTGTTCACTAATATGTGGATGAAAACATGCATGCATGCAAACATACAGGCTGACCAGTCTTGCAGAGAGAAATGCACAACCGGCTGTTAAAAAAGAAGATATATACAGTAGTAACATTATTAATACATGTCCAAAGAGGCAACTAAAGAGGGTTGCGGGTTACCTCAAACCACAGAACATCTTCTCATCCTCCTCCTTCTCATCTTCTTCTTCTTCCTCCTCTTCTTTTTCTTTTCTTTATAATTTTCTTCTTTTTCTTCTTTTTCCCTGTTTCTTCTTCTGCTTCTTCTCCTTCTTCTGCTTTTTTTCCTTCTTCTTCTTCTTCTTCTTCTTCTTCTCCTTCTTCCTCCTCCTCTTCTTCTTTTCTTTATAATTTTCTTCTTTTTTTTCTCTTCATTTCTTCTTCTTCTTCTTCTCCCTTTCTTCTTCTTCTTCTCCTTCTTCTGCTTCCTTCTTCTTCTTCTTCTTCATCTTCTTCTTTCTTCTTCTTCTTCTTCTTCTTCTTCTTCTTCTTCTTCTTCTTCTTCTTCTTCTTCTTCTTCTTCTTCTGCTTCCTTCATCTTCTTCTTCTTCATCTTATTCTTCTTTTTCTTCTTCTTCTTTTCTTTATATTTTTCTGCGTCTTCATTTTTTTGGGGGTTTTTTTTCCTTCTGCTTTTCCCTTTCTACTTCATCTTCATTTTCTCCTTCTTCTTCTTCTCCTCCTTCTTCCAGTTACCTCACTGAAGTGTTTGGGAGGATGTTAAGATTTCCTGTGTGCTCTTTCTAATGCGTTGTGTAAGTTGATCATTTCTTTAATGTTGTTCTTGATGCTTTCATCCCATAATTTGCATGGTCTTCCCCTCATTCTTTGTCCATTTAATCTCTTCAGTGTGCTTCTCTGTGAGAACTGGCACCAGAGCATTCTTTTCAGATGGCAAAACCATCTAACTTGTTGCTGTTTAATGAACTGAATGGCTGGTTTCATTGAAAGAAAGGTTGAACGTGTTTGAAACAAAATGCCTGAAGAAAATGATGAATATAAAATAGGACGAATTCAAGATGGGTGAAGACATAAGAGAAATATCTGGCAACAATTAGAATCAACATTTATAAGACAGAAGATAGATGTGTACTGGACACCATCTCCGAAGAAACGCGCAAAGAATTACCAAACAGGCAATGTAATGAGAAATAAAGGGATTGAGGATATGTGGGAGTCAGAGAGATATATTAAAGTGATTGTTGATGAAAGAGGCCAGATGTGCTCGGTGGATGATATCGAAGTGATTGCACAGGGCAGAAGGGAATGGAGGAATAGAAAGCAAGCTGTATGCAATATAAAAGGGCGCAACCGAACAATGAATGAATGACTTGTTTCAGTTCTAGTCTTATTCTAATTTCTCAGCTTAAAATTGTATATCTTCTCATTGCTCCAGCAGCTCTTTTAACTCTTTGAGTCCCAGGGGGTTTAGCATCACAGGCCCAAGGGGTAGTCAAGAGAGACGTTAAATCGGCTCATCATGCGTTTATTGGGCCTCTAGGTAGGAATCTATGAACGTATGATGCGTTCCTTGGGACTCAAAGAGTTAAGACAACTTTATTATAATTACTCTGCGCTCATCAGTTGCAGTAAGAGCTTCTGTCTGAGACTGGCAGCATACAGTTGGCCCAAAATAGTTCTTTTCTGCATCAAAAAGTTTCAACTAAAAGTGAGCTGGCGGAGGGCCTATTCTTCGATGGAAGGAAAAGACTCCAATGGGAGAGCAAATGCAAAAGGATGATAAAAAGAAAAAAAAATGAATACAATAAGGAAGACAAGGAGGAATATAAGAAGGAAAACAAAATATGAAGACAATAAGGAAGACAAGGAGGAATATAAGAAGGAAGACACAAAAATGAAGACAATTAAGGAAGACAAGGAACAATATAAGAAGGAAGACAAAACATGAATACAATAAGGAAGACAGAGAACAATATAAGAAGGGAAACAAATTAAGACAATAAGGAAGACAAGGAGGAATATAAGAAGGAAGACAAAACATGAATACAATAAGGAAGACAAGGAACAATATAAGAAGGAAGACAAAACATGAATACAATAAGGAAGACAAGGAACTATATAAGAACGGAAAAAAAATGAAGACAAAAAGGAAGACAAGGAGGAATATAAGAAGGAAGACAAAAAAATGAAGACAACAAGGAAGGCAAAGAGAAGACAAAAAGGAAGATGATAAGAGAGACTGACCTTGCTCATCTTGAGATAAGTATCAGCCTCGTAAACATCTCTGCTGAGCCCAAAATCAGAAATTTTCAACTTTAACCCCTCGGTGACCAAAACATTTCTGGCTGCAAGGTCTCGATGAACTATCTTGAATGGGAAAGGTAAACATATATATCTTATGAACTACCTGGGAAAGGTGAGCATATATAAATAATGACATATCTTGTTTTGTAGAGATAAATATTTATACATTATGTATGTATGTATACCTTGTATTAGTAATTGTACACATACATAAATATACATAAAGAATTTTTTTTTTAATTGGTACAAATTAAACACATAGAAATTATGAACTATTTTATTTTTATTGGTAGAGTTAAGATCTGAGGTTTGAACATCAATATCATGGCATACGGGTAGTAGCCCATAAGTGCTCCGTTCTTCTAACTAAAGTCTAAGTCAGAAGAAGCTCAGCACAGTGCACAGGCTCTGTAGCACCGGCGAGGATCATGAAATACTTTGGGTAGATTTTTAACTCCAAATTTTGCCCAGGTAGTGCTGTTAGGCTACTCTTTTCGATTTCCAAATGCCAAGGGATTTTTTACATGTGCAACAATGCACACTAGCGTCCGATCTTAAACCCGGAACTGCTAGCACTCAAGAAGGACACCATACCTCGAGACCACGCAGCCCCTTATTGGTAGAGTAAAATATATAGAAAAGATAAACTGTTTTTTTTAAACTAATAAACTATATAAATGATGGATTATCTTGCCTCCAGCACAAATGATAAACAATCTAGGCACTGAACTATATTCCATGGAAGAGAAGTGTGGACAGTAATTTCAACACTTATAACCACCATAACTGTTTGTTGTTGTTGTCAATGCTGACAAGTGCTGATTACCAACATCAGACAGTTTCAATCAACGAGAACATTTTCTGGTAACAATGAAAAACTGAGTACATGATTACAATGATAAAGTTGGGGGGGGGGGGGGGGGGGGGCGAAGAGAGGAGGAGGGAGACCACGAAAGAAGATGGTGGACAGTTTGACACTATGGCATGAAGGATCTTCTACATCAGAAAATGAATGAAAACGGTGCTACAGAGCCTGTGCACTGTGCTGAGCTTCTTCAGACTCAGACTTGAGTTAGAAGAAGACCGGAGCACTTATGGTTACTACCCGTGTGCCATCATGTTGATCTGTTGTTCAAACTTCAAACCTCAAATGAATGAAACTACAAGAGACATAAGGCTGTATAAAGATGGAACAGTCACCACCATATGGCATGGGCTAGTCGTTAGTAAGGGTAAGAGGGGAGGGTTGCCTTGCTTGTAGTGCCAAAGTAGGTAGAGGAAAAACAATGGACCAGGCCAACATTCTCAATGCTCTCCAGGAGGCAGGATGAGAAGATGATTCAGGTGTCGACGGTGAATCAGCAACATTCAAAAGACGACAAAAACTTTAGGTCAAATGAAGTGTCACCAAACATAAACACTATACAGTTAGTCAAAGAAGAATAGTAAACCAACATAGAACTGATGTTTTCAGTGGCCACACTCTGGGGGATATCCTGAAGATGAGATCTGAGTGCTTAAGGAATTGTCTGATGTGCAGTGGGGATAACCTGTCTAACTAACTAAGCGTTATCATCACAGAACTTCAGAGATATCCACTGGGGCTCCAGTCTTCTCTTCAGTCGTTCCACAAGAGTAAAATGACAGATGAAGACTGTTCTATTTGGTAAATCTTCTCCTTCTGTGCATTCACCAGTTGTAAACTCTGGTGGAAAGTTCTGGTTGTTCGTCCACTTCTGGATTGCAGTCCTGTTCCAGAACCTGTGTTGCGTTTGCATCCATTTGACAGATCTGACCTATTTGTGTGCAGACTGTTGGTTCGTTGCCTGTCAGGCAGATGCACTCAGACTTCGAAGGAAGCTCCCAATTAGTCAACTTTTACGACATGCTTTTGGGTAGACAATGGGTCTATTCTTGTTTTCCCTATGATAGGTCCCCGGAACCCACATGGGTAAATAAAATGCTTGTCCCCTAGGTGGAGTGTTCATTTCTTGCAGCTCCAGGTTGCACCCCCATGTCCATCAGCTAGACAGGGATATGGAATCATGCTCTTTGTATCAGTCTTTGCAATTCGTACTGCACATGACACTGATAACATTGCTTCTGCCCAGTTCCGATGCAGCCATAGTAACAGAAGAAGAAGAAAAGAATAAGAAGAATCATTTTAAAAAATCTGACTTCAAAGAATGGAAACAAAAAATAATACAAGACAAACCAAGATTACCTTCAGACTAGAAAGATAATCCATCCCCTTAGCAATCTGCCAGGCAAACGAGAAAAAATCGCGGCATGTAAGAATGCGAACCTCAGAATTACTGTCTGCCCCAGTTTGAGAATCATTGCCATTTTTCATTTTCTCATCCCAGCTGATTTTATTCTTGAACTTGGATGAACGTAAAAAGTTCCGCAGAGATCCCATCTCACAGTATTCAACAATCACATACAGAGGTCCTGTAATTAATGAAAGTAGTATACGTGGGTTATCTTCTTATTCCATATATGCCTTCAGAGAGGTGGTGGGAAAAGTTATGTGATGTTTTTTAGCTAGGCTGTGGTGAAATTTGGAAATTTATGCCCAAACATGCACAACTAGTTGCCTGTTATGACATGCTTGGTGAAAGGTAGTGGGTTTATACCCCCCCCCCCCCCCTCCCCCCCCCCCCCCAAAAAAAAAAACAGACACACATGCATGCACACTCGCACACACACACCAAGGGGTCCCTGTAATCCACAAGGAGTATGAGGGTAAGATACCAGAATTGGTTGCAAAAAGTTTGTTAAATACATTCATGGGTGATAACTGGCACCTAAAGAAGCAAAGAAGAGTAACAGATTAGAGGCCATAGACATCCCCCCCAAAAAAAAAAGTTAGTTGCACATCCTCTTCAACAAGTAGCAAACCAACCTCATTATTAATTGGCTCTTATTTGGGTTTACTAAGCAAATTTATATTCAACAGTTTGTCACTGCTTCCTGAAATGTATGACATACATACACATAAGTTCTCTATGGCTCTAAAATCTGGAGTGCCAAAAAGAAGAAGAAGAAAAAGAAGAAGAAGAAGAAGAAGAAGAAGAAGAATAAGAAGAAGAAAAAAAAGAGGAAGAAGAAGAAGCCTTATTACATAAATCTGAAATCAGAATCTTTCAGTGAATCTTTGGACCCATCCACGATACAATCAGCGGAGAATAGAGAGTGATAAGAAACAAAGAAATTCATCATCCTTAAATCTGCATTAATAATTGATATCATGCGGGTTAACAGACTGTGATGACTGAGTATATCAATGGAGAGAATAGCAGCTAACAGAGAGACAAAATCTAAGTAAACAAAAGAGTTGAATTGGGAGAAAACTTCAATGCAGACAAATAGGAAGGTAGAGAGATATTTTACAGGCAGGCAAACAAACACTTAGAGTCATCATCTGGGAAGAGAAGGCCAATCTCAGAGACGAGTGGAGGTGGGTGAGATCTGCGGCAATGAACCTCAATCTTGTAATCCAGACACAGCTAATGTTTTCACATTTTCACTTTTTCGATGACATGATGTTTCTGGGCAGTGGTCTAAAAGCCTTTATAACAGCTTTGGTGCTGGTTGCAACTACACAATGTGGCCTAAAAGCCTTTATAACAGCTTTGGTGCTGGTTGCAACTACACAGTGTGGCCTAAAAGTTTTTATAACAGCTTTGGTGCTGGTTGCAACTACACAGTGTGGCCTAAAAGCCTTTATAACAGCTTTGGTGCTGGTTGCAACTACACAATGTGGCCTAAAAGTTTTTATAACAGCTTTGGTGCTGGTTGCAACTACACAATGTGGCCTAAAAGTTTTTATAACAGCTTTGGTGCTGGTTGCAACTACACAGTGTGGCCTAAAAGTTTTTATAACAGCTTTGGTGCTGGTTGCAACTACACAATGTGGCCTAAAAGCCTTTATAACAGCTTTGGTGCTGGTTGCAACTACACAATGTGGCCTAAAAGTTTTTATAACAGCTTTGGTGCTGGTTGCAACTACACAATGTGGCCTAAAAGTTTTTATAACAGCTTTGGTGCTGGTTGCAACTACACAGTGTGGCCTAAAAGTTTTTATAACAGCTTTGGTGCTGGTTGCAACTACACAATGTGGCCTAAAAGTTTTTATAACAGCTTTGGTGCTGGTTGCAACTACACAATGTGGCCTAAAAGCCTTTATAACAGCTTTGGTGCTGGTTGCAACTACACAGTGTGGCCTAAAAGCCTTTATAACAGCTTTGGTGCTGGTTGCAACTACACAGTGTGGCCTAAAAGTTTTTATAACAGCTTTGGTGCTGGTTGCAACTACACAATGTGGCCTAAAAGTTTTTATAAACAGCTTTGGTGCTGGTTGCAACTACACAATGTGGCCTAAAAGCCTTTATAACAGCTTTGGTGCTGGTTGCAACTACACAGTGTGGCCTAAAAGCCTTTATAACAGCTTTGGTGCTGGTTGCAACTACACAGTGTGGCCTAAAAGCCTTTATAACAGCTTTGGTGCTGGTTGCAACTACACAGTGTGGCCTAAAAGCCTTTATAACAGCTTTGGTGCTGGTTGCAACTACACAGTGTGGCCTAAAAGCCTTTATAACAGCTTTGGTGCTGGTTGCAACTACACAGTGTGGCCTAAAAGCCTTTATAACAGCTTTGGTGCTGTTGCAACTACACAGTGTGGCCTAAAAGCCTTTATAACAGCTTTGGTGCTGGTTGCAACTACACAGTGTGGCCTAAAAGCCTTTATAACAGCTTTGGTGCTGGTTGCAACTACACAGTGTGGCCTAAAAGCCTTTATAACAGCTTTGGTGCTGGTTGCAACTACACAGTGTGGCCTAAAAGCCTTTATAACAGCTTTGGTGCTGGTTGCAACTACACAGTGTGGCCTAAAAGCCTTTATAACAGCTTTGGTGCTGGTTGCAACTACACAGTGTGGCCTAAAAAGCCTTTATAACAGCTTTGGTGCTGGTTGCAACTACACAGTGTGGCCTAAAAGCCTTTATAACAGCTTTGGTGCTGGTTGCAACTACACAGTGTGGCCTAAAAGCCTTTATAACAGCTTTGGTGCTGGTTGCAACTACACAGTGTGGCCTAAAAGCCTTTATAACAGCTTTGGTGCTGGTTGCAACTACACAGTGTGGCCTAAAAGCCTTTATAACAGCTTTGGTGTTGGTTGTAACTACACAGTGTGTAGACATGGTGGGTATAATAACATTTTCAAAAAAGGGAGATATTATTTGGGGTGTAAAAAAAATTTGATTTGTCACTGTGGCGTTATAATAAACTTATGATACGTCGCATAATTATCTATACACAGGCTATGTAATTGGGGGCAGACAAAGTGCATAGATATTTATAGCAGAAGTGACTGGACGTCGCTTGGTGCAAAAAAAAACAACCTGGTATATGATATCACAAGTCTAATTTGAGAATGGAGGTGAAGGCAGTCCTGCTGTCTTCTGCTGAACTGAGAATCAACTGTACTCACGTAGTATGTGTAACTGACTCACAGAGCATCTTGAGAAAGGTGGAGACAGGCGTGCTTCCTGCTGAGTGGCAAGCATTGCTTCAGAAGTCCCGGGTAGTTAGCACCCTTTAAATATTTTCTTCAGGCTATGCTAGTGTGTTAGGAAACAAGCAGACAGACAGACTGGCCAGTTATGCACCACTTGGTGTTGAACTGATGTATGACAAGCTAGATGTCGTGAGGGCCCTTGGGGAGCAAGTGAACAGTGACAAATAGATCGTTGCGGTCTGAGGAAAAAAACATTGCAGGGATTTAACAGGTGATCTGGCCAACGCTCAACAGTCAAAGGAAAGGCGAGATGAATGTACAATCAGTTACTGGTACCACCTGAATTTAAACTCTTTGCTCGCTGCTGAAGATGGGGATGGAGTTTTTATGGGAGTGTCCCAAGTGCTATGATGTTGATTCTTAATTCAACAAGTGTGTCACATTGCTCTTCTCAGGTTGTGTCAACAAAACTCCTGTTTTCAAAGAGAAGGTAAGCATTTACTTTTTTGCTAGCATTGTACTTAGTGCTTATTTCCCTTCACATATATATAAAGTCACTTTGGCACAGAAAAATTTATCTTTTTAGTGACTTGGAGCCATGACGAAGCAAAAGATTTGGTGTGGCTTGGCTGTCTACTCGGTGGTCACAGATTTCAAAACCCTGAATTTTTGTAAATGGTAAATTTTAAGATTTCTTTGGAGTGAAAGAGTCTAGGGCTTTGAATGCTGAAGAAAAAGTTTCAAAAGCTTCGAGCAACCCCCTCCCCCCCTTCCGACCTTCCTCGTGCGCGCGCACACACACAAACAACTGGTAATCACTGAGGCCAGAGCATGTTCTTATACAAATAATAAAACAAACAAGAAGTAAGTTAAATATATACAATATGAACAATGGTCCTGAAACACCATGCACTGAGCGGGGAAGACTTATCATAACATGAAAGGGTCTTGCTAATCACAATCACCATCACCACTGGCTGCTTCTTCTTCTTCTTCGTTGCGTTCACTGGCTGTAAACTCCGGTGGAAAGTTATGGTTGCCTGTCCACTTTTAGACTTTGGTCTTAATCCAGGATTTGAATTCTGCATGCACATCCGTTTTACAGATCTGACTTATGTGTTTGCTGACTGTTGGTTCCTCACCTCTAAGCAATTGGCTGCGATTCTCAGGCCTTCCAACATAACATTATTACCTGGGCAGGTGGAAAGGTGCCAATCACATGACCGCTGTTTGTTAGGAAACAATTACAGGTGACTCACCCTTTTGTGTACACACTCCCAGCAACTGGATAACATTGGGATGAACAACCTCTTTGAGCAGCTGGAACTCGGAGACCAGGTCTTGGTACTCTGCTCCCGAGGCATCAGCTGATGGTAGAAGGGAAAAAAACCCACAAATGTCCATGTAGAAAATTATATCAATCAATCAGGTGGCATTTTCACAAAGAAGTAAAGGGAAAAGGAGGAGAAGGAGAAGGAGGAGGAGAAGAAGAAGAAGAAAAAGAAGAAGAAGAAGAAGAAGAAGAAGAAGAAGAAGAAGAAGAAGAAGAAGAAGAAGAAGAAGAAGAAGAAGAAGAAGAAGAAGAAGAAGAAGAAGAAGAAGAAGAAGAAGAAGAAGCAGAAGAAGCAGAAGAAGCAGAAGAAGCAGAAGAAACAAGGAAGAAGAAGAATAAGAAGAGGAAAGAAGAAGAAGAAGAAGAAGAAGAAGAAGAAGAAGAAGAAGAAGAAGAAGAAGAAGAAGAAGAAGAAGAAGAAAAAGAAGAAGAAGAAGAAGAAGAAGAAAGAATATGAGGAAAAGAAACAGGCTGTCATCCTCTATATCCCAAAGGTGCATGGAGTATGTAATGCGATACAGTTTTACAGACCAACTGCCCCTAGAAAGGGTAATGTGGTCGACATCATGTCAACGACCTTTAATTTCAATATCATTTCCTGACATCATTTTAAGCTGAATAGACATGGGAGGCAAGTCATTTATAAAATCAGCCTTGGTGGGGATTCAAACCTAAAACCTTGGGAGGGCAGACAAGAGCAGACATTACTCACGTTTCAACATCTTCACGGCAACGACAGTATGTCCCTCTTGACCTCTCAACATTTGGGCCTGTGCTCTGACTACCTGACCAAATTCGCCCTCTCCAATTACATGCTCCAGCGTTAGGTTGCGCCTAGGAAACTCCCATTTGTCCTCGATCTTCAGAATAAAAATAAAAAATAAAAAGTAAAAACATGGAGAAATATCATTTGTGCTGTCAGTCTGGGTGAAATTTAACAAATGGGGCAAGAAACAATGACGAAATGAAGGGTACAAAGTGATATTTTCTTCCTCGTTGCTTTACTGTTGAGAGTATGCCAGTGCAGATAGCACCATAGTACTGGTAACTGACAGCTTTCCCAGTTACAGTTTTTGCATGAGTTAGCATAACCATGCAGCCAGCGTTTTTTTGTGTTATTTTCGAGACATAAACCGAGCAGCGTATTTGTAATAAATATTACACGATGATAACAAATAGTAAAATAATGCATTACTCTTTGCCTAATGAAAGTGTAAGCAGGAATTATAGCCCTTGCATTTACGCCTCTCCATTGTTGAGAAATAATATCTTTCTGAGTTAATCAGTAGACGGATCAACAGAATAGGGCCAAATTGACGGAGAGGACACACACACAAAAACACACACACACACACAGAGAGAGAGAGAGAGAGAGAGAGAGAGAGAGAGAGAGAGAGAGAGAGAGAGAGAGAGAGAGAGAGAGAGACTTTACTATCAAAGGGTTAAAAAAAAAAATCGGAATATCCAGGACAGACCCGTCTTACACTCACTCTTCGAACTAATCATCTTTCACAATGTAATTTCATTTATCTACAAAGCTTGTTATTTAAGTTATAGACAGAATGAACTAACGGCCGAAGCAAGGAAGGGACTTTATTTGTAAAGAGTTAAGTCATCATCATCATGTAGCAGATCCTTTGCAGAACGTCGCCCTCATCACGTCTGCCTGAAAAAAAAACTCGGTCTCTTGCCAGTTCTCCCGCCTCATGTACTTTCATATTCAAGGAGTCATTTATATCCTGTGCCCATCTTCGTGTAGGTCGGCCCCTGCCCCTTCTTCCTGGTACCATGCCTTCCGTAATTATTTTTTCCAGTTGACCCTTGCGCTTGATATAACCATAATGTTTCAGCTGGCGAGACAAGATGCTCTTTATTAGCCAATCTTACCTGATGTTCAAATCCTTTAAAGTGCCCCTATTTCTTCTCTTCTGTGACTATGGTTAAGTATTGGACATTATTTTAGATAATGACACAAATCGCATGAAAGTCTGGTGGAAATGATTATACAATACATAAAACAAGAAGCCTGTTCTCTGAAGAAAAAAAATCAATGAAACATTTATAGCCCATTTATAACCCTTAGAGTTGAACACGATTTTGTGATAATTACTTCTACTACTTTTTGGTCCACTAAAAACCCACCTTGGCGGGAATGAATGAATGAATGAATTTCTACCCCACTAGGACATCACACAAGCGATAAACACCCGATGACACAAAGTGCCACCATGCGGATGAGGATCGCCGTGGAGAGGTCCCAGAAACCGCGTTCAGACATTTGGCCATACTATGGCCTGCCTATATTGCGGCCCCTGGCAAAAGCCAGAGTAGGGCTTCAAATGACAAAAAATTTCGTCCTAAAAAGGACGAAATTGTGTACACCTTGGCGGGAGTCATTTCACAAATTATGCAGAAGTTGAATGTGAAGTGAAAATGTGGTTTAGAAAACAGAGTACGCAGTTCTATGCAGCAGGTTTGGGAGGACTGATAAAACGATAGGACAAGTGCATCAATGGTGGTGGAAAATGGGTTGAAAAATAAAGGGACAGTGTATGTGTAAAAATAAACGGTTTTCAAATTGTTTTGGTCTTTAGTTTTATTTTTTATTTTTAAACAACTATTTGTGACCTACTTATTGAGTTCCCCTTGTATTTAAGAATCAGACCAACCTTACATTAAGACAGACACTAGAAATCTAGTGTCAATCAATCAAGTGCCGTCTCCACAATGAAAGTTGACTGTAATGGACCTCATACATGCTCTCTCTCCTGTCTTGTTAGTACACTGTCAGACAGCTGTTCTACTATCTCTTGATGCTGTCCTGCCACTTGTATTGTTGTTTGTCTTGCTCTCTTGTACTCGACCTTTTCTTCAAGTATGGTTTTCTTCTTTTTGTGATTTTAAAAAATGATTTTAACTGACAGTCGAGTTTTTATGAAAACATTTACTTTTTTGGGGGAGTTCCCTTTTAGTTCCATACACCTTTATGTATGGTGTCGACTCTTCTTCTTCCTAAAGTCCATGCCATGTGGTGTTGGTTGTCATGTCTATCCACAACCTTCTGTCGTGTGATTCACTGGGTCAGTATTCGCTTCTTAATGGGACATTCTTGCAGGATTTGTTCTGTAGTTTACACACCCAGTCCAAATAAGCACAATAATGAACTACTTAGACGAAGCCTGTGCAAAGGCTTGTTAACTTTGTTATGCCCTATCCTGAGGCCCAGCTGACCTGGTCATGCCAGTCAAGTAAGTGGTGGTCACCTTTGACCAGATTCTGTTCACTTCTGATAAACCAGTATGGTTTTCGAAAGCACATTCTGTCTTTTAATTTGGTCAGAATATTTCATTTGTCTCTTTTTTTTTCTTCTTTTAATATTTCTTTTTCTTATTCAGTCTTTCCAGAATATCTGTATATATTTCTTTTGGTTTGCATGAAATGCGACAAATTGTTCCCTATATCCACATTTTCAGAGACAGTTTGATTTTTTAGCTGCCTGTCCACTGTCCAAGTTTCTGTACCATACAGCAGGACTGAGTAAAATCATTATCAAGTGCCCTGCCAACTAGCGTAGGCGCTCATGCGTCTCCACAGATCACGATCACTGGTTGCTTGGAACAGCTCACTTGATGATATCCCTTTATGCCATCGTTTCAACCCATCCAGCATAATCTCTCTTGGTCTGCTTCTACCACTTTTTCCATTGATCTTTCCAGTTGTCACGATGTTCTCCAATGTCTCTCTTCTCATTATGTGGCCAAAGAACAGTGTTTGTCTCTTTCTTATTATTGTATACAGAGATATACGTTTATAAGCTTTTTTCAAACATTTGTTGTTAGTTATTCTGGCTGAAATAGATATTCGTAACATTCGTCTTAGAAACCACATCGCTGTCGCTTCCAAATTTCTTCCTAATTTGTTCACTGACATTCCAAGATTCACTGCCATACAGCAGAACAGATTCTGTGTAACATTTTAGCACCCTCTTAGGACTCATGTGTCAGTGAGAAATCCGGTATAGGCCATCTTTTATTGTGAAGACGACACTTAATCGTCCACATCTACACTTACCACGTCATGGCCCATCCCCAGTTTGACAGGCCAAGGACCGGAAGCTGGTGACGAAGTCTGCCTGTTGACATGTCCCCGCATGTCCCGACTGTCATCAACGATGTAATCAGAGGGAACGGCTGTCATGGACACGAGACTACTGACATGCTTCAGAGAAATGGCGTGTCGTCGTCGCCGCCGCCGCCACATCATACAGCCGGTGAGAACCAAAATGGTGCTCACCACAACAGCAGACAGAGAGCCTATAATGGCGGCTCTGCAAGATGAAGAACACACATCATCATCATCCTTGACGTGAACCGACTTCGCAGCTTTCTCTTTGCTCCGTAGACCTGCACAATTAAAACAGGGAATAAGGTAAAGTCGGGAGATGTGAACCAGCGTCATTGCGCATGGGTATAAACCATAAGTACTCTGCCATCAGTGCGGACAGCTGATAAGAAACTGTCCGCCTGTGTCGCCATCCGCACGCAACTCCGTAGCTACAACGACGTTTATCCCAGTGTTAGCTCTGGTACCCATTTCCTAGGGGATGGGTGAACTCCGGGAACCGCTCAGTTTTGAACACCGGCCGTGGGCTTCAGCGAGTCGCAGCTGGATTTGAAAGCGAGTCTCCCATCGACTGCGCTAACGCGGCCCCCGACATTTAGTAGAAACAAAATTTTATATAAAAAAGTTAAAAAGCATTTCCAGTGAAGTTTGCAACACGTCATCTAGATGAGTAAGAGACAGTTTGATTTTTTAGCTGCCTATCCACTGTCCAAGTTTCTGTACCATACAGCAGGACTGAGTGTAATCATTATCTAGTGCCCTACCCTGCCAACTAGCGTAGGCGCTCATGCGTCTCCACAGATTACGATCACTGGTTGCTTGGAACAGCTCACTTGATGATATCCCTTCATGCCATCGTTTCAACCCATCCAGCATAATCTCTCTTGGTCTGCTTCTACCACTTTTAGGCATATCGGGTATATGGGAAGAGCGTCCCATATTTTTACAAACCATCGGCATTAGGTGGGTAATGTGGTCAGCATTACGCCGGCCGTCTTTACTTCCCGAGGACATCCATCCTGGTATCCATTTTAGGCTGAGTCGACCTGCGACGATCCATACCCTGATTAAAAACCCACACAGGGCCTCAATCGCTGTATGTTGGAATTACGAGTCGGACTCGCAACACCTGAGCCACGGACGCCGCGGTCTAGATAAGAGGACAGTATATTAATAAGACATAGGTATTTCAATGCTTCTTGGATGTCAGATCTGCCTGTCTGTCTGTCTTATCCATCCAGCTAGCCTCCTATCCACTCATCTATCCATCCATCCTTTTTGTCTGTCTGTGTCTATCTCTCTGTCTGTCTCTCTGTCTATCCAATGAACCATTAATCTCTGCGTCCATTCACCTACCTAAGTAGCTATCTGTCTCTGTGTGTCTATTTATCAGTTGTCCGTCCACCTATGTTTTTGTATGTCTATTTATCAGCTGTCCGTCCGCCTATGTTTCTGTTTAACTGTTTATCAACCACCAGACAGACAGATGTGACCAGTTTGTAACTTCCCACTTGGCCACCACCACCAAGAAGGTCTGAACAACTCAGTTGCGTGACAGCCTGCAAGAATGCAGCCACCAGAAGCAGTTAGCCATCGTCCGGGCACAGATAAGGCACCGTTAGGCCAAGACACGAACATCAACACGAACATCAACAATTGCCTCGTCCAGGAAATGGCGGGGTTTGTGAGCTCCCAGGGTGCTGATAGTGGAGCGTTTCCTTGACAACCAAACAGTTGATAGTTTAAACCGAGTTGAATTCTCTAGGGATGGTTTAATCTTAGCAGTTTGTCAGTACTACTGATTTGTCGCACTTAGTAGCTAGGTGCCATAGAATTGTCCAGTTTTGTCCAGCCTTGGTAGCTAGGTGCAATAGAGGTGTATAATCTTGGCAGCCAGTTGCTATAGAGTTGTCTAAACGTGGTAACTAGGGACTTTAGAGTAGTCTAATCTAAATAGCCAGGTGCTATAGAGTAGTATTATCTAGGCAGCTATGTGCTATAGAGTAGTTTAATCTAGGTATCCAGATGCTATAGAGTTGTCTTATCTTGGTATCCATGTGCTACAGAGTAGTATCATTTAGGTAGCCATGTGCTATAGAATAGTATAATCTACAGGTAGTCAGGTGCTTTGGAGTAGTATAATCTACAGGTAGCCAGGTGCTATAGAGTAGTATAATCTATAGGTAGTCAGGTGCTATAGAGTAGTATAATCTATAGGTAGTCAGGTGCTATAGAGTAGTATAATCTATTCGTAACTAGGTGCTTTAGAGTAGTATTGTATAATGGTAGCCAGGTGCTATAGAGTAGCATCATTTATAGGTAGTCAGGTTCTATAATACAGACTCATCTATGTAGCCAGGTGCTACAGAGTAGACTCATCTATGTAGCCAGGTGCTATAGGGTAGTATAATTTAGAGGTAGCCTGGTGCTATAGAGTAGTATAATTTATATGTAGCCAGGTGCTATAGAGTAGTATAATTTATAGGTAGCCAGGTGGTATAGAGTAATTGCATCTATGTAGCCAGGAGCTGTAAAGTAGTATAATCTATAGGTAGCTAGATGCTATAGAGTAGTATAATATATTTGTATCCAGTTGCTATAGTTTCATTATAAGTCGGAGTAATTGTGCCGGAAATGCGAGGAATCAACCACTTGCTTATAAATAGGCCAGATCTATAAAGCAGATGTGCACATAAATTTCAAGTTTTAAAACAACACAAAAAGTATTGAATTGGACAGTCAGATTTTTCGGCCATAGTTTACAGACGGTGAGCAGGAGTTTGTAGCAAGTGAAAGCGAAGAAGAAGAAGATCTAAAGCCCATTTATATGCGATATCTTCTTCTTCTTCTTTTTTTGCATTCACCAGCTGTAAAATCTGGCAAAAGGTTCTGGTTGTTCGTTCACTTCTAAACTGCAGTCCCGTTCTAAAATCTGAGTGTTGCATGTGTGTCCATATTACATATCTGACTCACCCGTATATAAACTGTTGGTTCCTAGCTTACGTCCTTCTTAGGATGTAATTTTTTGTTATTTGAAGCCCCACTCTGGCTTTTGCCAAAGGCCGCAATATAGGCAGGCCATCAATATGGCCAATTGTCTGAACGCGGTTTCTGGGACCTCTCCACGGTGATCCTCATCCGCATGGTGGCACTTTGTGTCATAGGGTGTTTATCGCTTGTGTGATGTCCTGGTGGGGTAGAAAGTCAGTCAGTCAGTCAGCATTTCAGGCAGCTGCACTTCGACTTGAAGGAAGCTCCCAATTAGTAGACTCTTACGACATGCTTTTGGGTCGGCAGTGGGTCTATTCTTGTTTTCCCTATAACAGGGCCCAGGAAACCAACACGGGCACTTACCGCTATGACCAGCTTTATTTGACGTGTTGAGCTTGACAACTTGTGGAGAATCACAGACGCAGTGTGTCTGCCCACCCGTTGGCTGGCTTTCGCACCAGCAGGGGCCCTTGGCCTGATGGATGCCTTGGTTATTCTGAGTGATTAACTCACCATGTACTGGACCTAAACATAAAGGCAAATCAACCTCTTAGTACATGGGGGGTTAATGCAAGAGCTGACGACATAGAGGATGTCCATATAAGCTTCTCGGTCCTCTATGTGAGTTTTAGCAGTCTGAGCGTTCGAAAACTTCGAATTGATGTCAACCCCGGGAAGGCTAACCCAGTCAACAAATGCCCGCAGAAGTCGGATGTTTTGGCCGAAAAGTGCAAATGTCGCAGCCATGCTGTAAACGGACACAACGCAATGACATCTTCGGATGAACGCAGAAGACAAAGATATGTCAACTGAGACGAGATAGATAATTATTAAAAACTATATAAATCCTATCTTGATACACGAAAGTGAATCATGGACAATCGGTAAATTGGTAAAAATGTATTTGGAAGCTGCGAAGATGTGGTTTTAAAGACTCGTGATGAGAATACCCTGGGCAGACATAAAGAGTAATAAAGACGTCTTGAAAGAAACTGACTCACGAAGAGAACTGATTGCCCACATCAGAAAGAGACAATCTACATTCTTTGGTCGCGTCATGAGAAGGCAATTAGTGGAATACATCGTGACAGTAGGAAAGTTGCAGAGGAGGAGAGGCATAGGCAGACCGAGAGAAATATGCTGGACAGTTTGACATCACAGACGCAGGATCATCTAAGTCAGAGTTGCCCGATAGTACATGAGACAGAAGGTTGTGGAAAGACATGACTACCAACACAATACGGCATAGAGGATCATCTGTGTCAGAGTTGACTGATAGTACATGAGACAGAAGGTTGTGGATAGACATAACTACCAACACCACACGGCATGGAGGATCATCTGTGTCAGAGTTGACTGATAGTACATGAGACAGAAGGTTGTGGATAGACATAACTACCAACACCACACGGCATGGAGGATCATCTGTGTCAGAGTTGACTGATAGTACATGAGACAGAAGGTTGTGGATAGACATAACTACCAACACCACACGGCATGGAGGATCATCTGTGTCAGAGTTGCCCGATAGTACATGAGACAGAAGGTTGTGGATAGACATAACTACCAACACCACACAGCATATAGGATCATCTGTGTCAGAGTTGACTGATAGTACGTGAGACAGAAGGTTGTGGATAGACATGAATACCAGCACCACACGGCATGGAGGATCATCTATGTCAGAGTTGACTGATAGTACATGAGACAGAAGGTTGTGGATAGACATAACTACCAACACCATACGGCATGGAGGATCATCTGTGTCAGAGTTGACTGATAGTACATGAGACAGAAGGTTGTGGATAGACATAACTACCAACACCACACAGCATATAGGATCATCTATGTCAGAGTTAACTGATAGTACATGAGACAGAAGGTTGTGGATAGACATGAATACCAACACCACACGGCATGGAGGATCATCTATGTCAGAGTTGACTGATAGTACATGAGACAGATGGTTGTGGATAGACATGAATACCAACACCACACGGCATGGAGGATCATCTATGTCAGAGTTGACTGATAGTACATGAGACAGAAGGTTGTGGATAGACATAACTACCAACACCACAAGGCATGGAGGATCATCTGTGTCAGTTGACTGATAGTACATGAGACAGAAGGTTGTGGATAGACATAACTACCAACACCATACGGCATGGAGGATCATCTGTGTCAGAGTTGACTGATAGTACATGAGACAGAAGGTTGTGGATAGACATGAATACCAACACCACACGGCGTGGAGGATCATCTGTGTCAGAGTTGACTGATAGTACATGAGACAGAAGGTTGTGGATAGACATGAATACCAACACCACACGGCATGGAGGATCATCTGTGTCAGAGTTGACTGATAGTACATGAGACAGAAGGTTGTGGATAGACATAACTACCAACACCACACGGCATGGAGGATCATCTGTGTCAGAGTTGCCCGATAGTACATGAGACAAAAGGTTGTGGATAGACATAACTACCAACACCATACGGCATGGAGGATCATCTGTGTCAGAGTTGACTGATAGTACATGAGACAGAAAGTTGTGGACAGACGTGACTACCAACATTACACGGCGTGGACTTTTAGAAGGACAAAAAAATACAGTTAGTCTTTGAAATTGTTGGGTGCTCTTCCTTTCACCCCAAGTCCAGTAACTTTAAAGATGTAACCGGCCAAGGGCTGTTCGTATGCTAGAAACCATGAGTTGTTAACCCTTAGGCTCGGTTCTATGGATATCGCAACCCTTCGACCTGATTCTATGAAAGATATAGTAAATCTGAGAGAAATATGGCTTTTCTGCCTACCCCCGGACCACAATGAGTTCGTCACACGGTCGCCGCGAAGTCAGGTTTAACCAAATACGCTAGCGAGCCGAGATTTGTCCTTTTTTCTGGAAGTTTCCACATGCTGTAGGTGAAATAAAGTTTATCCAGGTTCTTCCCGCCAAAACAAACTGGATGTGATATGTGTGGCTGGAAACTGCGCCAGAGAAAACTTTACAGTAAACGGGTCACCCTGTTTTAGGGTAAAATCTGTAAACTTAGCTGGCACTAAAACAAGTTGCCCAGATTTTTACTTCGTTGTCCATGCACAGACAATCAGGCAATCAGTACGTGGACTCAGTACCTGGTTCAAATTTGACTACCGTCCGTTGGTTACTGACTGTTCTCTCCTCTATGTTGAAGTCAAAAGCATATACTTTTCTAGGCACAGAATCAATATAAAACATAACGGAGTTGTCATCTGTCCAGTCAATGCCGTTGCTAATTTCAATGTTCCCAACGTGCTTGGTCAGCTTATGGTCAGTTGTCAAACTGTATAGGCTGCCTTGACCACTGTCCACTCTTCTAGGTATAGTCTCAAAACCCATGGTACCTGCCCATAACCGACCAAGAACATCATATTTCCCATCACTGAATCGGTTTCTTGTTCCCTGTTCAACCTCTGCAAGATCTGTAATGTTAGCAGTGTCCCAGTCTACATGGGAAATGGTTCTGTTTTGTCCGCCAACTACGCTCGCATGGGTAACAAATTCAACTGTTCCATCTAAGTTAATCTTGCTCTCCTGGCCAGTTTTGGACGCACAGCGATGGATTCCACCCATTGTAATATCGACAAAGTATAGTGATTCAGATTTCATGTCCCAGTAGGGGCCTTCTCCAATAGAACTTCTATTTTTGGTAATGCCATTTTGTATAAACAGCTAATGTGGCAATACAAAAGTATATATGTTTCATATACGTTAGTCATCCGACAGGTGCAGACGACTCGTAAAAATAAAGCAAGCTAAACATGTACCACCAGGCGGCGGTAGGGTCGCCTTATGTTGCTTAGCCCTGGTCGACGGCGGTAGGGTCGCCTTATGTTGCTTAGCCCTGGTCGACGGCGGTAGGGTCGCCTTATGTTGCTTAGCCCTGGTCGACGGCGGTAGGGTCGCCTTATGTTGCTTAGCCCTGGTCGACGGCGGTAGGGTCGCCTTATGTTGCTTAGCCCTGGTCGACGGCGGTAGGGTCGCCTTATGTTGCTTAGCCCTGGTCGACGGCGGTAGGGTCGCCTTATGTTGCTTAGCCCTGGTCGACGGCGGTAAGGTCGCCTTATGTTGCTTAGCCCTGGTCGAAATGTAAATCTTTGTAGTAGTAGTAGTAAATTTCTACCCCACCAGGACATCACACAGAGAGTTAAACACCCGATGACACAAAGTGCCACCATGCGGATGACGATCACCTGATGGTCCTGGAAACTGCGTTCAACCGTAAGGTTACACTGCGGCCCCTGGCAAAAGCCAGGAATAACGAAAAATTGCATCCCACAACGGGGACGAAAGACTATTAAATCTTTGGTAGGTAGATAGGTAGGTAATTGTATCCCACCAGGACATCACACAAGCGATACATACATGGTGACATACGGCACATGCGGATGAGGATCACCGGTGAAGGGGTCCCAGAAACCCCTTTTAGCCGTACGGCTAGGCCATATGTATAGCCCGGCTATTTTCAGTCCCCCCAGCAAAAGCCAGTGTGGAGCTTCAAAATAGGAATAGGACACACACTGAGAAAACAGGAGAACAGAATAACTAGAATGTCTTTGCATTGGAACCCTTAGGGGTATAGGAATAAAGGAATGTCACAAAACACACTGAGAAGAGAGCTGGAAAATGAAGTTAGAAAGAGGGAGGACATGGGGAGAGCTCCATGTATTGGCGAAGGATAGAACGACTTGGCGTGAGTTGGTTGAGGGCCTATGCTTCACTGAGGGGGTGGGGGGGGGGGGGGGGGGATAGAAAGGCAGAAGAAGAAAAAAGAACCCCCTCCCCCAAATCAGTTTCTTTCTTGAAAATTGAAAACAGTCCAGTCTTGATCATCACTGGTTATTACGCCCCTTTGAAGTAGCAATCGGAAACCGAACACCTCGAATGTCGGAAACTCCGCACTACCATATAATATTATATCAAAGAGCAAGGCTTGTTGCCTTTTTCTCCCGTCACTCTTTGGCGTGCCAGCTAGAAACAGCGATGATTCTTCTCTACGACCTAATATTGTCATTTCAGCCGCTCAAAGTGATTCGTGTCATTAAACTGACACTGTTGGGTATTTTACGTTTTGTTTACCGCCTTCGTTGTCTAGTTTTGTTATTGTTGTTGTTGTTAGTATCCGTCGGCTCTGGGGCTAAGTCGATGCGAACGCTTCGTAATGCTGGGGTGCCGGGATCGATCCCAGCTGCGGGCTATGCGCTTTGCGTTGGTTTCGACAGTGGTATCAGGGAGCCGACCGTCCAGGCGCAATGACAAACTACTGGACGTAAATTTTCCTAGAGAAGCCACACCACAGCCAATGGCTGCTAGGGTTGGTTCTGCAACGTCCTGTAAAAGATACGCAACTAACTTTTGTTAGTATCCAGAAGCCATGAGTTTTTAACCCTTATGCTCGGTACTATGGATATCGCAACCCTTTACGATGTTGCAATGTTCAGATTGCGCCACCTTTTCTACGATTATATGGACATTTACGATGTTGCAAAGTTCAGATTGCATCTACATTTTCTACAATTCTATGGTCATTTACGTTGTTGCAAAATTCACAGATTGCGACCAACTTTTTAATAATTATATAGACATTTACATTGTTGCAAAATGCACAGATTGCGCCGAAATTTTTCTACAATTCTTTGGATAGTTACGTTGTGGCAAAATTCAGATTTCACCCACCTTTTCTACGATTCTATGGATAATTACATTGCTTAAAAATTCAAAGATTATACCTATATTTGCTACAATTCTATGAATTTTTACATTTTTGCAAAATGTAAAGCTTCCATCTGTGTTTACTACAATTCTTTGGTCATTTACATAGTTACAATTTCACAGATTACATCTGTGTTTACTACAGTTCTATGGTCATTTACATAGTTACAATTTCACAGATTACATCTGTGTTTACTACAATTCTGTGGTCATTTACATATTTACAATTTCACAGATTACATCTGTGTTTACTACAATTTTATGGTCATTTACATAGTTACAATTTCACAGATTACATCTGTCTTTACTACAATTCTATGGTCATTTACACAGTTACAATTTCACAGATTACATCTGTCTTTACTACAATTCTATGGTCATTTACACAGTTACAATTTCACAGATTACATCTGTCTTTACTACAATTCTATGGTCATTTACACAGTTACAATTTCACAGATTACATCTGTCTTTACTACAATTCTATGGTCTTTTACACAGTTACAATTTAACAGATTACATCTGTCTTTACTACAATTCTATGGTCATTTACACAGTTACAATTTCACAGATTACATCTGTCTTTACTACAATTCTATGGTCATTTACACAGTTACAATTTCACAGATTACATCTGTGTTTATTACAATTCCGTGGACAGGTGAAGACACTAACGACTGTTGATCCGGTGATCACAGTTCCGAATTCACAGTAAACGGGTCACCCTACAGTTTCTCCTTTCCTGTCCCAGCGACAACCTCACAGACTGTCTATCGGTGTCCCTTGCATAGAAATTGAAACAGTTTGCAGTCTTAGAAAAGCACACACATGTACTGGCATAAAATGAATAAGGCAGCAGTACAGAAACAGTCCGCCTCTAGAATTGCAGTTCATAGTCAAAGAAATGCAGACCGAGAGAGCGGATGCTGGATGGGCTGAAACGATGGCATTATCAAGACAGCTGTCCCACGCAGCCAGCCAGGGTTTGTGATATATGAAGACGCATGAGCGCCTACACCAGTTGGCAGGGCACATGATGATGATGATGATGAATCGATGAAATTAGTATTTATAGCAGATTTCACACAAGACACGATCACTTCGGTGGCAAAAGACTACGTGCCATTTTCTGAATTTGCGTTGCCCATACAAACAACACTGGGCACAGCTAACGAAAAAAAAAAAGCATTCTATATATATATATCTCCCCAGCTCACAGTGTCACACCATGCACCCAGCAGCACGACAACGAAATCATATCCTTTTCCATCCGCACATTGTGGAAAATGCAACAGCTAGAAGCAATTATCTGCTAAAACTAAAACTGTCCAGCCTGCTAATCCACGGTATTGACACACACATACACACACGCGCTCGCGCGAGCACGTACCCACGCACGCACACACAAAACGCACGCACGCACACACACACACACATTCAAAGATGGCACCCACCTTTGCTACAATCCTGTGGGCAGCTCAAGAAATGCAGGCTCTCCAGATCGCTGCAGAAACCATCAGGGCAGGTGTTCAAATTTGGAGAACAGGTACTGTAGTTGACAGACATGCTAGTGCCGCCTTGCCGCCAACTGCACATCCCAGTTAGCGCCCCATAGCCGCAGGAGGCCACACATTTCTCCCGAGTATTGTGAATGGAGCAGCCGGTGTCTGTAATCATAGATTAATCAAGTATCAGAAAATGTATTAATCGGCACTCATAGAAAGAAGTAGAAAGAAGAAATCCACAACTATGGAATACGGACAGAATTAATTTCAAACCATTGAAATGACACCACAGGTTACAGAAATGTATCTAATATTAACGAAGCCTATGTCGATTAACAATCACAGCAACAATTTACCCACACAGTAGACCTTAATGCTTTGTATAGAATACACAAATATTTAAGAAAGGTATTTGATTGGTAGGTTCTGGTGTGTATACGTCATTCCTATAAATAAACAGAGGGAGAACCCTTGAGGCCGTTAAATATTATATAGATTAATCAAGTTACAGAAAATGTATTGATCGGCACTCATAGAAAGAAGTAGAAAGATAGAAGAACACACAAACATAAAAACATAAAAATCGAAAGCCATAGTTACCGTGCCGGGAATTGAACCTGTCATCTCCAGACGGCGTGTGCGCCTCGCCATGGATATAAGTGCACTAAGAACATGGTCAACTAGGCACCCCCAAAAAAGATGTCTTATTGGCCATTTCTATCGTACAGCTTGAAATCCACAACTATGGAATACGGACAGAATTCATTTCAACCCATTGAAATGGCACCCATAGGTTACAGAAATTTATAGAAGCGAGTAAAAGTGAAGGGAGTTTGTCACGCCTTCGGTGCTTCGGGCATACTATGCTAAAGTCCGCCTAAAAAGTCGTACCTTCATATTTTAAACAAACATCTCAAAGAAACCTATACAGATCAACAGGAACGTCGAAATTTCAGTTGTCTATGATTTAATAATTCACAATTGTACAGGTGCTACTGTTTTCTTTAAGCGGCAAATTTCTTTGATGTATGTATCCCTAAAAATAGAATTTACTGTAATTGACACAAATCGTTTACGTTAAACCGCAAACATGGGAATTATTTCGGAAATCACCTCAATGTGCAGAGCTGCGTGGTGATTATTTTTATAGCATATCCCGCATACAACTAAAATGCACATGATGATGATGATCTCGCTTACATTGAAATATTACGTTCGTCTAATTCATGGGAGGCTAATGCAGGAGACTGACTACCTGAGAGTGAAATACTGACTACCTGAGAGTGAAATACTGACTACCTGAGAGTGAAATACTGACTATCTGCTTTGTTCATTAACCACAAAAATTGCAAAGCTAAAACTAAATGCCTGCTTAAATTATAATTACTTTCT